TAGGCACTGCCTCGCTTGGAAGGTTCTGAAATAGCCCTAGCTGCTCGGCTAGCGCTTGGAGAGGAGGCACCTCGAGGGGCGGGGCTCCAGCAGGGGGCGGAACCCTCCTGAGAGCACTAGGAGCGGGACACGTGGGCTATTTCCCCAGGGGCGGGGCGCGGGGGAGCCGCTGTGGGGGTGGTCAGGGCTTTCCAAACAGAACTGGAAAGGGGGCGCTGAAGTAGCCGGAGCTGGATGACCCCAGAAAAATGACCTTGATGGCAGTAGGATGGGGCGGGAGTAGGGATGCAGCACTGCGGGGTTAGGTGGGACGAGGTTACCAGATAGGGCGGGGGTGTTAATTCGGCATCTCCAGGGTTCTGAGAGCCCAAGGCTGGGGGAAGTGGAGGGTGGCAGGTTAACCCCAGATCTATGGTCTCTGTGGAGAGACAAGCACCATGAAGAGCCAGACTCCATCATGTGTGGGAAGATGGGGAAATTGGCTAAGGGGAGCCTGTGGGAGGTCCTCGGGAGATAACGGGCCTGTGGGGCTCTTGGGACCAGAACATCTGCATCTACAGGGACTATTGGGGCAGGGGCGGCTGAGAAAGATGACTCTGGACACAGGAAGAATAGTTTTGGGTAAAGATCAGCCAGTGACAGGGAAGAGGGTTTTGCCTCTGTCCCTGATTTTGTGTGCGCAGCGTGGCCTCGGTTTCCCCATTAGTCCGAAAGTCTGAACCATCTCTGCCCAAGTCCCAAGCCCTTTTTGCCCTTCTCCCTTGCCAGCGCAGTGGTCTGCCTTGTTGAACTGCTGAGCTTGCCTCTTCTGTGCCTGGCCCTGTGCCGGGACACCAAAGTGACTGAGACACACCCAGACTCACCCCTCGCTCACAGTCCAGTGGGGGACCAGATAGCGACTGCCCAGAATGGGTCAGGGCTGGGACTGAATTAGGGCCTGGAGGGGGAAGCCCCGGGGCCCAAGTGGGGAGGGGCGCTCCTGACTCAACCTGAAGGGTCAAACTTTGGATGGGAGGGGGCGGGGCAACGGAAGAGGCTCCCTAAGAAGAGGTGATACTTTAACTGAGGCCTGAAGAATGAGTGGCATTCTCTGGGCAAAGGTGCTGTGTCAGGAAAGGTGTTGTAGGCAGAGGGAAGGGCATCTGCAAAGCTTGGAGATGAGAAAGTGTGGCTTATTTCTGCTAGAGTCCTGTGCTCCCTCCCTGGGGATCCCTGGGCACCCTGGTAGAGCTGTCTGGCACAGGTCCCCTAGTCCAGGGTCCACATCTGGTTTATAGGCTGTAAACTCCAGAGGGCAGACTCTAAGCTTATTCCCTTGCAGCCTGGTGGTTTAATGATTGGCCTTGAGGTTGGCTAGGAGCTGGGTTTGAATCCCAGCTCCCCCACAAATCAGATGTGTGGCCTTGGGCAAGTGACTGAATTTCCCAATCCATCAGCTGGGGATATAACCTTGGGTTTCACAAAATCAATCACCTCATTTTCAAGAGCTATAAATAATTAAGCATATAATTTATACATTGCATATTTTAAAGTATGTAACTTGTAGATTGTATCAAGGGACCCAAGAAACAATGTAGAGACTTAAAAACAACATGTTGCCATGTCAGATGACACTTTGGCCTAAGTTATGGAAAATGCAATCGACCAAACAAGAATTTTCCAGCTTAAAGATACAGGATTCCAAACCTGGTTATTTAAAATTTCAATACTGAACTCATTCCCAGCCAAATACAATGTTTTAAATTCCTTGGTTCAAAATCTGTAAGAGTTAGAAATTGGGGTGATTAATTTTGGGTCCCCTTTAATACTCACCTCTCACGTGCCGGGTCAGCATTCCCTGCGACCATGTTATGGCTCCGAGGTTACTGTGCAGGGACACACACCCCCCCTCCCTTTTTTTCTTGCTTTTGAGATGACTCAGGAGGAAAGGCTCTGTCACCACACCATCCCCCCTGGACACACCCTGCTGTCCGAGGGGCACCATTATAGTCTTCCTTTATTGGCTGTCCTTGTATAATACAAATCTGTGAGTTTAGATACAAAAAAATCTGGAAATAAAAGATAGAAAAGTACCCGCCAGGCACCCCCCCTTTTTCCCGGGCCCTTCCCCAGCGGGCACTGACGTGAGGTAACTGAGCATCTCCTTCCTCTTCCCCCCACCCCAACTCCTGGGCCCCCAACTTGGCCCCTGCCCCCACGAGACCTTGGCCCAAGGAAGATGTGGGCCCCCGAGTGGGGGAGAGGGGTGATAGGGGTGAGCACAGCATTGGCAGTGAACGCAGCAGGTGGGCAGAGGGAAGCCCTTTGCTTGTGCTGTGTCTGGAAGGGGACGGCCAGACTTGGGGTGGGCACTCCTGTGGGGTCCAGAAGAGCCCCTAAGTGGGCCTCCCTTTTCCATCCCACCCAACACTGAAAGGTCGAAGGTCAACAACAGAAACTGGGAGATGTAGCTTGAACCGAGGGCACTCAGTGGGACGGTGGCCATCCCGCTGTGTCTGGGGTTTGGGGGAAGGGGGGAAGGGCACCACCAGCCTAAGTCTGGCAGTGAAATGGGTCCCTTAGCCAGGCTGGTCCGTCCCTGAATCCCATCCTGTCACAACCTGGGCGTTACAATGTCGGTTCTGTAGTGGTTGTGGGGGGAGTGAGGTTCGGTGAGGTTAGAAAGGGGAGTGTTGGGGGGTGAAGTAGCCCCAGGGAGTGGGACTAGGGAGAGGTTGGGCCTCCATTCCCAGGTGTGGGCACCTGGAGATGTTGGGGTGGGCAGGGCAGCTCGGGCTACAGTTCAATCTCGAAAGTCTTCTGCAGGTCGCCCGAGAAGGGGTTGGAAGGCTTCTCTACAGCAGGTTTGCCTTCTAACGCTGCCCACTGAGCCTCAAAGGGGTCCAATTCGGGGGCCGGGGCAGGTGCTGGCTCTGGGGGCCAGGGTGCCCCATTGGGGCGTGGGCGGACCTGGCCCCCCGGGGCAGTGGGCATGGCCGGGGGTGGGAAGGCCCCGGCTTTCCCGAGCAGGGTGGCTGGCTGGGGCTGGAGCTGGGCGGCTGAGCAGAAGGCATTGGCCACCATCTGTGAGGGTGTGATGCCCACCACGGGCACCCGGGGCATGGGCGGGTAGCCCAGGCCCGGGTAGGCGGGCACAAAAGGGGGCTGCATGTGTGGGGGCGGCAGGAACACGGCCACCTGTGCAGGTGTAGCGTCGAAGGGCCCCACGGGGGCGGGAAAGGGCTGCAGGGCAGGGGCCACAGGGGGCACTGAGGCCGCTTGCTGCTGCTGCTGCTGCTGCTGCTGCTGCTGCTGCGCTTTGGCCACCTGGGACACCTCCTCTAGCCACCTCTCGGCCTCCGAAGGGGTTCGCTTGTGCCCGGGCTGGAAGGCCGCTGCAGGGGGCACGGAGGACTCACCCCAGGCAGAAGTCCCTAGAGGGAGGAGAGGGGCAGTTGAGGGGCATGGGCGGCAGCCAAGAGAACCCGAGCCTGGGGATCAGAGTCTGCAGCCAGGCCGCGTGCCTTGAATCGAGTTCTGCTCCTCACTAGCTGTGTTGACTTTGGGGCAAGTGGCTTAACCATCCTGGACCAGGGCATGGTTCTGAAGTGCTAGGAAAGTACAGTGCTGAGATTCTAAGGCCCTAAGATGGGAAAGCACAGGCAAGACTGACAGGCACCAGCCCAGCTTCCCTTCTGATTGGCCAGTGCCAAACCTATTATTAAATATTTTTAATACCACCGTTCATTCTGGTACTTTGACAATGTATTGTTTTAGGAGGCTAAGATTTAAAGACTGCACGGATCGTTCTCAAAGTGTACAGGTCTCACCTAGTGAGTGAGGTTCAATGGTTTTAAGCTTGTGTTTTCTAAGATTCTAGAGATCTAAATTGATAGTGCAGTTCCAAGTGCTTCCATGGTTCTAGAACAAGCTCATGGCTCTAAGGTGGTTCCAAGGTTTCATGGTTCCAGAACTGGACATTCTAATATCCTGTGATTCTGAGGCTGTAGGTTTCTCAATTTTATGGTTCTAGGACAGGAAAGTTTAAAATTGATCCCATGGTTTGAAGTGGCCCCCCATGATTCTAACGTTATCTCATGGTTCTAGGATGAGCCCATGGCTCTGAGAAGACCCTGTGATTCTAAGATGATCCAAGGCTCTAAACTGATGCCACGGTGCCAGGATGGTCCCATAGCCTTTAGATGATCCGTGGTTCTAAGACCGTGGGATTCCAAGGTTCCTGGAGTGTCTGAGGTACTCCCTGAGTGGAGCAGGGGGCTGTAGGGGGGCACTGCAGGGGGGCACTGCAGGGAGGGGCAGAGTTTACCTGCTGAGGCTGGTGGTGGCCCAGGTGCGGGTGCTCCAGCACTGGCGAAAGACGAGCTGATCTGTGTGCACAGAGCATTGATGCCGTCACTGTCACTGGCTCCAGGGGGCTCCATCTCAGGCACTGGGAAGTCAGGGAAGGGTGGAGGTCAGAGAAGAGGCCCAGGCCCTACCCTTGACCCCGTGCCCTTAGGTGGCCCTCTCTCGCCACCTGGGGTCCTTTCCCTCACAAGGTGTGTAGGTTGTGGGTCTACTCTGCAGTAACCCATGGCCGGGGCCATGAAAGTGCTAACTCCGTGCTTGTGTGTGCGTGACATCTGAGTGGTATGACAGCCAAATGGTAAGTGACATTTTGGTGGCTGGGGTCCCAAACCAAGGAGGACATCATGATCTGTGTATAGTGGGGCACCTGGGTGGTTCAGTCCGTTGAGCATCCGACCTCGGCTCAGTTCACGATCTTGTTGTGGTTCATGAGTTTGAGCCCCGTGTGGGGCTCTCTGCTGTCAGCACAGAGCAGGCTTTGGATCTTCTGTCCCCCTCTCTCTCTGCCCCCTCCCCCACTCGTGTGCGTGCACGTGCTCTCTCTCTCTCTCTCTCAAAAATAAACATTAAAAAAAAATCTGTGTGTAGCTACAAATCAGGAGAAATATTTTAAATGTTCGACAATATATATTAATTAAAAGATAAATCCGACCACATACATGGCAAGAGCTCTGATGAGTCAGGATGAGCGTTGGCCACACTGTTGTGCGGTGGCTGGGGATCATTCGTCCTCCTTTGGGTGGAGAAGGGGGGGGGCCCTGTCCACCACACCTGGCCTGGCCTATTACACACATCATGAAGCTAGAGATGCACCTGTGCCAGCAAGACAGGGGACGCTGAACAGGTGCGGTGGCCTCATGAGAGCTTGGGATGAAAAAAAGTGCCATCCAAATAGACAAGAGAAACGCCAGTGTGGTGGGACAAGAGCCTGTGACATCTCAGCTAGCGGTTGTCTCCAAGGGAGCACATGCAATGCCCCACTGAGCATCAGAAAGAAATGGGCTGGAGGACTTAGCAGGTGTGACAGGGGCGTGCCCAGGTGGGAGGGTGCGTGGTTTCTAGGTCAAGTCTATGATGACTGTAGTCCAAATAGGTGTGCAGCTTCTGAGGGCCTGGCATCTAAGTGTGACCGAGATCCAGGCGCGTGGCGTCTTGTGATTCCCAAGTGTGAGCCACTCCAGGCAGCCATGTGTGACGTATAAATGTGTTTGCAAGCGTGCGTGAATCTGCAGGTGCGGCTTCCACGTCTGTGCGAATCCGGGTGTGTGGTTTGTGAGTGTGCGCCAATCTGCGTGGGGTATCTGGATACGTGCCTAAGTGTGTGTTAATGGAAACATCTGGTTCTGTGACACCCAAGAGGGGGTGTGACTTTTGAGTCACATTGAGCGTGTGACTTCTGTGTGTGGCACCTGCGGCAGAGTGACATGTGTGAATCTGAAAATTCCGGGGGGCAGGTCACATCCAAGCAAGTGTGCGACTGGCTACGGGCGCGTGAAGCTTCCACCTGAAGTGTGGGGGGCCTGCCACCTCTCAGGGAGCGTGTGTGACAGGCCTGGGGGGTGCGTCATGGCAGGGTGCATGAGGACAGCAAACCCGAGGCTGTGTGAAGGCCGAGGGACACTGCGGGACACGGAGCGCGTGTGCGTCAGTCTCGGCAGGCACTGGCATCTGCTCAGCAGTCACCTTTGCGAGCAGCCCAGCCTTCTGGACGCAGATCAACGCCTCCCACGCCAGTCCCCGAGGCCACGAGGGGTGGGTGTCTCCGATCTGGCATGTGGAAGCAGGAAAGCGGGCCAGACCACGTGACTTCACCAACAGCTGGGAGGAGAGGCAGCCCGCTTGCCCACCTCCCTGGGGCAGAACATGGTACCATGCCACCTCTCTTCCCCCTCTCTCGTGGCAGACGTTGCTTTGGGAACATGACACATGCCACCTCTCTCCTCTTCCTGGCCCATGGCAGACATTAGTAATCAAGCACGATGCGTTTTTTCCCACTCAACTCTTTGCTTACCGTCCCCCTCACCTGGCCAAACCTCATGGCTCTACTGGCCAAATGCTGGGTCCGTGTAACTCCATCTTCCTTCCAAGAAAAACAGAACAGCTATACTGCCTCTCCTATCACTGCCCAGGGCAGGCACTGCTAATAGATGACGCATCACCGCTTGCCTCAGCACTGTCCCTGGAAGATGGGGGTGCTGCTTCTGCCCAATCCCCTGCCGGCCAGCGACATCACAAATTCATCACTATGCTCCGCGACCCCTGATCCCCGTGCTCACGTGTGCCCTTCACCTCATGTCTCCACTGGCCAAATTCTGGGAACTCTCCTTGGGCACAACAGAACTTCTGCTCTCTCTTCTCCCTTATCCATGGCAACCTTCACTAATCAATCATATGGTGTATCGCCTCGCTCCTTTTTCTTGCTCATGGCAGGCACTGTAAGGAGATCATGACATATGCCGTCACTCTATTCTCCCTGCCCTGGGCGGACGCCGTTAACCCATCACAATCCTCCCTTACTCTGAGCCTGTATCCTTCACCTAGTCAGATCTCATGCCTCTCTGGCCAAATGCTTGGAGGGAGCATTAGCCTATGGAGTCTCAGTCTCCTCCTGAGCAAAAAGGGGCGTCTAGGCAGCTTTCCTCTCCCCCGGAACCCATGGCAGGCTTTGCTAATCAATCATGATGCATGCATGTGTGAGGTACCTCTCGGTTCCGTACCTAGAGCAAACATTACTAATTGATCATGGCTTATGCCATCCTTTTGCTTTCCCTTGCCATCAGGAGACATTGCTAATCGATCATATTTGCACTACCCCTCCCCCCCACCCCCTCGATGGTGGCCGACACTGCTAATCAACCATGACGTGTTCCACTCCTCTTTCCTTTCCCGTGGCAGACAGTGCTAATCAATCAAGGTGTATCCACCTCTTCTCTATCTGTTGCCTCCTACAGAGGGTGCTATGGTATTGATCCTGATGTTCTTCCCACTGAGACACGGGCTCACCTGTGCCCTTCACCTGGAAGTCAGTGCGGCGCTGCAGTGTGGACGGCAGCTCATTCAGCCGTAGGCTCAGCTGCCGTTTGAAAGGTGAGTTCTTCTGGCTGAGTGCTGGGAACCCGCGGAAGGAACCCTGGCGAACCAGCTGCTCCAGGGGGGCGTGGCGTCGGGGGATGGCAGCTGCACTGGTGCCTGCGGCCACCGGGGTGCCCGCCTCACCCTTCTCCCCAGGGGATGTGGTGGCCGGCGTCGGGGACACATGCCCAGGCTGGGCAGGGCCAGGAGCCGCAGATGGGGCAGCTGCTGCCTCTGCTGGAGACAAGGCGGGGGGACAGGCGGTTAGATACCCCACCGGGGCATTTGTCCTCTCTCACCCAGCCCCCTTGATCGTCCTCCAATGCTGCCTTCCTCACCCAATGTGTCCTCTCCTCGCGACAGGCTGGTAAGAGCCCTGAAATGCCTCTCATCTTCACCAAGCCAATACCGCCTGCCCCAGGAGGCTCTCGGGAGTCCTCCTCCAGCCCAGCCTTCTGTGTCGCTAGTTTCTGCCCCCAATCTGGCTTTCTCTGCTGCTTCTTCTGTTTTTCTCTCTGAGACCTTCTGTCTCCCTTTCTGATTAATTTAACGAACGCTTATTTGGTGCATAATGAATGTATCAGGCATTGTTCCAAATGCTTGCAAGTATTCAGTGATTCGAGCCTCACAGCTACCCAATGAGGTCGATATGACCGCTATCCCCATTTTACAGATGTGGAGACTGAGGCCTAGCAATGGTAAGTGACTCTGCCCAAGCCACAGTGCTAGGAAGGGGCAGGCTGACCCCAGAGTCGGTGTCCCAGACAAGTGCCCTAACCTGTCTCTCCCTCTGGCCTGCTCTCTCCACATCATGCTGTCTTCCTGTCATTCTGTCTGTTTCCTACCATTCTTCCCACCTCAACTATTTCGCCCCTCCCACCCGTTGCTACCTACTGTTCTAGACCCAGCTTGTTCCATCCTCTCCACTCTGGGACTGCCCTCTGTCCTCTGGGGGAACCTGGTCTCCCCACCTAGTACAAGGTGGGATCTTCAGAGGCAGGGACCCTCCCCCCCCGCCCCCAAGCCCTGTCAAAACACAAATATACACCCATCCTCCAATCAGGGCCTCACCCGAGCTGCAGCCCAAATTGGAGACTAAACTCAGGCCCAGAGAGGTAGGGAGGTCACCCAGCACTGCTTCTCCCATCTTCCAGCTGGAAGCGGTGAGGCTCTCACCCAGGCCTGGCTGGGGGCAGCTTGAACCACGTGGGACAGGTTGGAACCAGGAAATCACCTCTGTCCCCACCTTACTGGGGGATCTCAGGAAGCCCCCTCCCTTTCGAGCCCCAGTTTCCCCGACTAAACCTGGGGTAACCACCCCTAATACTGCCCTCCTGAGGCCTCCTGAGAGGGTCAGTTGAGGCAGCGAATGTTCAGTGCTTTGGAATCTGACAAAAGCTTGGTAAACAACACTGTGAAAAGTGCACTGGTTCGCAACTCCTAAATTGGAAAGAGCTCTTTGTCAAAGGGCAAGTGAGGTGCCTTGAGACTGTAAATCGGCGCATCTACAGCAAAATGCTGGGTGATGTGTTCAGCAAATCATACCATACTTCGTAAACTCTCATCTTGCTGTGCAAGCTGTAAAGTGCTTTCTATAATGCAAAGTACCTGGAAACTATAACATCCTTTGGAAACAGTAAAACCGCTTGCAAACTCTAAAGCGAATGACATGTTTTGTAAATTCCAATAGCCTCTAGAAACAGTAAAGAAATACCTGTAAACCGTGAAGGACTGTGTACCCAGTGCGTTCATTTGTAAACAATATAAAACATCATATACTGGACCAGGCCCTCTGTTAACTTCATTTTGTATCTGCTTTGTGAATGGTAAAATACTTTACAAATTCAAATAGATGATGAAGGGGCACCCGGGTGGCTCAGTCGGTTAAGCATTGGACTTCAGTTCAGGTTGTGATCTCACAGTTCGTGAGTTTGAGCCCATGTCAGTCTCCGTGCGGACAGCTCCGAGGCTGGACCTGCTTTGGATTCTGTGTGTGTCTCTCTCTCTGCCCCTCCCCGGCTCGCTCTCTGTCTCTGTCTCTCTCTCAAAAATAAATATTAAATTTTTTTTTTCAACGTTTATTTATTTTTGGGACAGAGAGAGACAGAGCATGAACGGGGGAGGGGCAGAGAGAGAGGGAGACACAGAATCGGAAACAGGCTCCAGGCT